TTGGAGGCACCTGCATACCATGGGGGTGGTGTGCCAGCGCCATCAGGTCTTTCAAACCTGAGGACGTCTTTTGAAGTATGGTACCTCACGTCCACTGATTTCTCAGGGGGGAGGTCCCTTATTCTGAATCCCGGCTTAGCCTCGGCATCGCAGGGGTTCATGTCTTCTAGGCACGACGAGACAAGCTTCTCGTTCAGTGCCACAACTAGACTCCTATACGGTTTGGGTACAGGGTTGTCAATTGACGAAGAGTGCTTGTCAGCAAACTTCCTATGATTCCCTGAGAGCAGAGCTCTGAGGGGGTGTGTGTCTGAAAGTGTTAGATGTGCACTCACATGTCAGATGTCAGATGTTATGTCACATGTAGTCACACATATATATAGCTTAGGTTTCCCACCTGATGTCCTTAGCTTCTTACTTCGGACTTCAGGTGAGTACATACACATGTACACTGTCCTCTAATATAAGCTTCTTACTTCGGACTTCAGTCACTCAAACAGGTTATGGGCCCTGCCCTCTAGACTGCGCTTAAACTCGTTTCGAAGATTCCTGCTCAACCACTTGCGCGCTCTCGGTCATTCTTGGCTACACGCGTCTCGACACCTTGACGGACCACTCCACATCGCCAACAGGCTTCGGGGTTCCTCTGTGTCTCACACACTTCGCTTTCTCATTTCGCTCCAATTTGCTTTCACCTCATTTCGCTTCCGGTTCATTCCGCTTTCGTCCGTTCGCTTCAATTCCTGGACTGCCACGTCACTACACCGTTCCGCATTATCTACCAGCGCCGCGTCATTGCTCCTTCGCTCTAACATCCTCATTGTGTCACAATGAGTTCTGCTTTCCCCACTTTCCCTAAACTCAATGCCACCAACTATCCAACATGGGCCAGTGAGATGACAGCTTGGCTCTTGGCACAGGGGTTGTGGAGGGTTGTGAATGGGGAGATCAAGCGCCCTAAGGTGGACGCTTCACCTAAGGATGGGCAGGAGGACAGGCTGGAAGCATGGCTGAACAAGTCAGACAAGGCTGCTGGGCAGATGTTCTTGATGGTGGAGCACAACCAGAGGGTGCACTTCAATGGTATCAGGGACGAGCCTGTCAAGATCTGAGATGCTCTCAAGGCTGTACACATGCAGCAACGCCCTG